CCTACAAGGACGGTCCATTGCTGGCATCGGAGCCCAGACAAGCTGTTGCCATCACCATTCTTGCAGGTTATCAAGCCCCAACTGGATAAGGCCCTGAGAAGCCTGGTCTTTGCTCAAAGCTGGCTGTGCTTTGGGCAGGGTTGGACTGGAGACCTCCTGTGGTCTCTTCCTGAGTTATCCTTTATGTGATAGAAAAACGTGTGTGTGTGTAGTCTAGGTTCCATGTGGCACACAGATTTGTTTTGAAACATTAACTATAGTGTACAGACATATCAAGAGTTTGAGCTTTTATTCAAGTCAGTGTTAAATTATGGAAGTATGGTGTATAATGCTCATATAGAAGAAACCATTAAAATAATATTAATAATATTATTATTATTAATAATAATAATAATAATAATAATAATTGTTTCCTTTCTGCCTGCATATACAAGAAATCAAACAATTATTCATCTGGACTTGGGTAAGAAATAGCAAACCAAATTGGAATCTGAATACTCAAGCTTTCACATTTTCTTGCTGCATATCTTTTCCTGAGTAGAACTTGGCATGTGTGTTGAGTTCTTGCTCTAGGGTGATAATCTGCCCTTTGATGGTGTTTTAAAGTAGCAGAAAAAAATTCTTAAACTTTGAACTTCATGTTGCTTAAGAAATATATGGATACATTATTTTTTTTCTTCTTTACAGACAGGAAGATAGTTTAACCTTCAGCAGAGAGTTAGTTGCAGTAGTAATCAACCTCTGATTTCTCTGTTGTGGAGGTGGATTCATCCATCAAGTCCTATGTACAAAGCTAAGAGTGCTTACAGAGCACTTTCCCAAACATGTTTGATTACCAGAGCACAGCTGCTGTTCTGGGTAATTAATGTGAGACTGTAATATCATTCAAATGGGTGCTGTGTCTGTATTTCCAAGGTCGGATAACCTCTCTTGCTTATATTCTCTTCTGTCTATGGCATTTTATGTAGATTATTGATTTTTGTTTGCTTGCGGGAAATAATGAGCTTTTTGCAGGTCTGATGGGAAAGATCAAGCAGGCCTTGTATTTGTTTGAGGAAAGAGCTGCTAAGAATAAATAATAAGCAGGGTTTAGTAGTCTTCCAGCTGTCATGTATAAGCAGGGGTTTAGTAACTTCTAGCACCCAATCTTCACGGGTGTTCATTAAATTACTCTCTCAAGACTGATTGTTAAACAGTAAAATAAATGTTCTTGACTCAGAAGCTTACTTTTCATTGAAAGTTACTGAGACGGAGGTGACCTGAGGCCATTCATTCAGATCAGATTTCTAAGTCAACTTACTTTGAAACAAGTAAGATTTATTTTAAGATTTCAAAATAAACAATAAGTTATTGTTTTCAAAATTGAAAGCTGGAATTTAATTTATAGGAGGAAGGCAAACAGAAGGGTCTTTTTCAGTAAAAAGCTTTTAGTGAAGCTTAACATTTCCTCCTCATACCTTCAAAATATGCAACCTTGAAAGTTTTGGGATATCAGTAGTTGAAATCAAGCTGAAAGAATTTGTTAAACGAGAAAAATTTTACACATGGAACTTTCTAAGCTATAACTTTGTCAAAGGAAAATGATGGGTCTCCCAGGTGTTTTTTAGCCATATTTTGTGTGGTTTGTAATCTCTCTAAGACATGTCAGCGATGCCATCTGTCCACAAGACTCATTATGTTGCAAGCGTGTACTAAGACTTCTAAAACAGGATAACTTATTTTCAGCAATTATCAGTACTTTTATTGTCATAAAAACTGTGACATTTGATACCTTATTTGACTTGAGTAATCTTCATGTAGCCAATTTTTTTGCCTTCTTTTCTAAAAACGTAATTAAGTTAAAGATGTATCAGGATACATGTGATAAAACTTAAGAAAGTTGATCCTGTGTTTGTCTGTAACTTGATTTGTTTTCACTAGCACTACCCTTGTTCTGGGGGTGACCAATGACACTGAGTCACAAGTCAGGGGCTAGTTGAATGCAAGAAATTTAGGTAGATTTTTAAATCAACCCTCTACTTTGGCTTAGTTCTCTCCATGTGGAGAAGAGTGGAAATTTTATAATTTACTTAAATGAAAGCAGGTCATGTTAAAGAGCCTTCCCAGCCTGGCCATTCATGAGACTCTGACATCACGCTTCCACCACCAGGGTCTGTCACAGCTGGGACCGAGGCCACCACCCTTCATGGTGGCCATTCCAGTGACCTGACGGGTCCCCACCTGATTCATACACATTCTCACAGGCCAGCCCGGGTTTCCTGGCTGGTGACCCCAGGTTTCCCACAGCAGAGGCTTGGATGTCTCTTTCCATAAAGGCATTTATTCATGGTGCCATAACACAGAAACAGCTCAAGCTCTGAGCCTCTGAGGAGGGAGCCTGGGGAAAGGAAGCCCCGGGCTCTTGTCCCCTCACAGTCCAAGTGTGCCAAAGACTCACTTCCCCTCCCGAGTCTTTGACTCTGGCTGTGTCTCAGTATCCATCTTGTTCATCCATCTGGCCGGCACCAGCATCTTTGTGTCCTGTGTTTTGCAAAGAGTTGGCACTTCTGGCCTCTTGCTTGGGACTCCTGCCACCCAGAGCTCAATCTACAGCTCACACTGCGGGGTACAAACCGAGCTATTTGTGCTGAATGTATTCCTCTGCTCTAATCCTCTTTGGGAAAGACTTTTCAAAGGGCTCTTGAACCTTGGCATCCTCACCCGTTTTCTGGGCTAAAAATGGAAGGCTGTCTGATATTGTTGTTCTTGCTTTCTTAACATATGGTCTGTGGGGGGAAGAGTGTTTAGTTCTGGTGCACACCAGTATATACACCTGTATTCTACCCATTCTTTCCTAATGCATTGGAAGTCTTAGATGGAAAAGACTTTATCTTGTCACTGAAACCTTATTAACTCGCTTTCATTAGCTGAGAAAAACAAACTGGGTTTTTGCATAGTTATTTTGAAAAGGGATTAGTTTGTGTACAACATCCTTATAGGTCCATCTAATATGATTTATTAGCTATTGCTTTACAACTGTAATTTTTTTTAAGGACTCCTGTGTTTAAAGGGCTAAAACATTAAATGTAATAAAAGCAAGGAGTGTTCACTGAGCTGGAAGCTGCACCCTCTGGATTTCCTGTGGAAGTTTAGTGTGACTCATACCTTGGCTTGCCTGCCTGTCAACTTTTCTGATAGAGAGCAACTGAATTTGCTGTTGCTTTCTCCTCACAGGAAGTTATTCCTACTGCTCTTCTGCACAGAGCTCATTTAGTCAGCAAAGTGCCACCTGAGCCTCCCTGCCTCAGTTTACTAGACTTGATCCGAGTTCTATTTCACATTCACATTAATTTTTTTAGTTGGCTGTTGACACATGCTTTTATAGATCCTTCAAGTTAGCAGTCTTCCAATAGGTACCTTTTCTTTTAGTACTTGTCAGAAAGTCACAAGCTAGAGCTATATTTTATTTATGGATATGTGGCTTGATTTAGGTAGCTAAAAGGACATGACAGGTCTTCTTTATGACACTGCATCTTAAACACATAGAAGAAGGTTCCAAATAGCTGAAGGTGTTTTATAAAAAGAAAACCTTATGAGCTAGATAGGCCTGTTTCTGTTCACTGCGTATTTTTTATTATTGGCAGACTTCTCTAGTAACCATATGACCTTTTGAGATTTTTCACTCAATTAGCAAGGCTGAGATGCCCCACTAGTCTCAATGCAGTCATGGTTACGGATATTAGAAATGTCTTCACTATGTTTAGGAAGGAAGCCGTCTTAAACTGATTATAGGTAGATTCCAGGAAGACAACTGTGTTGTATCTAGAAAGAAGAAGAGAAAGCACCTGATTCTTCTCTAGGAAGAAGAAACAGGTGCTGCAGATGTACTGTGCCCTGAGAGTAGAATATCTTGGCAGGTTCCAGCCGGGCTGTGCCCGGTGGACTGCCGTGGCCAGGATAGCTCAGTGGAGGCTCAGGCTAGGTCCGATCTCCCAAGCCATTCCAAGCTGCAGGCAGCCAAGCAAGCTCAAGTGATTTTCAGCTCTTTAGTGATTATCAGCTCTTTTTGCTTGCTTGTGGCCATAGCAGCAGACGCAGGGAGAGAGAGGAGAAGGCTGTTTGACGATTCCGCAGGATTCTTTATTAGGGTCTTCCATGAAGGGTCTCAGTGACAGCTCTTCTGCCAAACCAGGCAGATTTAGGGGTTTTTATACCCTTCAGGGGTTTTGGAAACTGTCCATTATAAAGGGTCAGGGGAAAGTGACCTATAGGCTTACAGAGAGATAAGCGGGGTCCGAAAGGCGGAAGAGAGGGGCTTCTAAGGCCCAGTCATCATGACTTGGCATTTCCTAGCTCAGGCTTCTGACCTCCAAGGAGCCATTACAGGCCCTGGGCCTGCTACAGTAGAACTTTAATTTCTGCTGATTTTTTAAAAGTGCATAGGGTGACTAGTTCACCTGAAGATGTCATACTGAAGAAGTATTGAATGCATAACTCTCATGTATCTGAGCAACTGCAGACTCCTGTTACAGGACTAAATCTGCTATTTTACATTACAGCAGCGTTCTTTTCCTCCAAGTTAGTGATCTGTGGGGAAAGTGCTGGAGCACTTTCAATAAGTGCTTTCAATAATAATTTCACTAAGGTGAAATATTTCTGTCATCTCTGCCATGGTTCAGTTCCTGGCAAAAATTAACTTTTCTAATATGACAGCATCATTGCAATGCCACTGCAGTGCATACAGGTATCTCCAAGGGGTTATTTGGAAATGATACTTCCATAAAGAATTTGTCCGTGCAAGGGGGAAGCGCAGTCCCCAAGGGTGTTGTTGTTGGTTGCTGCTGTTGGAGATCATTTGCATGGGGTATCATACTGTTGTGCTATTACCTGACTGCAGAGCTGAGTCAGATGTTTGTCTGCTGGGAAGGAAGGGTGCATTTTATTGCATCTGTTTATTAACTCCAGTTTTTTATTCGGGGTAATGTTAAAGTTTTTTGGTGTTTTTTTTTTTTTAATTTCAGCTGTGATAGACAAAATGTCAGCAGAATAAGTGACCTACTCTCCAAAACTTGCCATGAACCATTTGGTTGGACCACCTGAGGGGGAGATCAGTGAAGAGCCAGCAAACAGATCAGTGAGTGAGTCAGTGGAAGCTGACCTGGAGCACTCAGAGGTGGAAGAGGAGCAGAGGTATGCGGTTCGCTACCCAAGGCACACCAGCAGCAGCCACGTGGGCCTGTCTGGGCAGGAGGAGGAAGGCATGTTAGCTCGGTCAGCCAGCACTGAGAGTGGTTTCCACAATCACACAGATACTGCAGAAGGAGATGTGATAGCCACAGTGGAGGATAGTTATGATGTTGAGAGAGTGCAGGAAAATGAGGATGAGAGTGCATATGCAGTGCAGTACAGGCCTGAGTCTGAGGAGTACACAGAGAATGCCGAGGCTGAGCATGGCGAGGCCATTCATAACCGAACATTGCCCAATCACTTACATTTCCATTCCATTGAGCATGAGGAAGCCATGAATGCAGCCTACTCAGGTTATGTCTACACACATCGCCTCTTCCGCCGAGGAGAGGATGAACAGTATGCCGAGGCTTATGCTGACTATGGGCTGCAGGAGCATGTGTATGAGGAAATAGGAGACACACCAGATCTTGATGTTAGGGAGGGCATCCAGCAATATGAGCGGGAGAGGGAGGAAGCTGACAATTACCGCAAGGAGGCACTTGGTGCCCGCCTTCACCATTATGATGAACGGTCTGATGGAGAGTCTGACAGCCCTGAAAAGGAAGCGGAGTTTGCACCTTACCCAAGAATGGATAGCTACGAACAAGAGGAGGACATAGATCAGATTGTAGCAGAGGTGAAGCAGAGCATGAGCTCCCAGAGCTTAGATAAGGCAGCTGAAGACATGCCAGAGTCAGAGCAAAGTTTGGAGCATAGCCAGGCTCTTGTCAGCGGTGGGCATGAAAGTAATGGCCAGCTAACATCTGGTTCTCGAGTTACATCTGGCCCGGGAGAATCTGTACAGCGGTACAGCAAGGAGAAAAGAGATGCAATTTCACTGGCCATCAAGGATATTAAAGAAGCTATTGAGGAAGTGAAGACAAGGACCATCCGTTCTCCTTATACCCCTGATGAACCTAAGGAGCCTATCTGGGTGATGCGGCAGGACATCAGTCCATCCAGGGATTCTGATGACCAGAGGCCACTAGATGGGGATGTGAGTACACAAAGCTTTCACCTCTCAGATTATATGTGTCTAATTCTTTTAACTGTGACATGCATGGCAGTGAGGGAGGTTGCATTACATTCTTGTTATGTGTCCTGGTCTTGAAAAAGTGCTTTATTTTAAATTTGTACCCTAGAGAGCATAAGAGAAGTAAACATGCATTATCAAGTAGCCAGATTTTTCTTTATTTAACTCTGCTGACGCCTCAGGTATGTATAAGAATTTGTCACATGAAGTTCTTTATGTGTCTTTTCTGAAACAAACGCTGTTATATTTTTTACTGCCATAATATATTTTAGGGTAGCAACCAAACAGTTTTCTACTGTCTTATCTTTGTATGCTTTTGTTAACTCTTAAGTTTCTAAGTTTCATGGTCTGTTATGTAACAGTCCCAACAGTTCTGTCAGAAATCTGGTAATATTCTTTATGATGATAGCATAATTCAGATTCATATTCTAGAAAACTTGCATGTCAACTCGAAGTCTCTAGAACTCAGTGTATTACGAATCTCAGTGTATGACATTATCACTGTAAAGTGGTATTTAAAGCAACCTGAGTATTGAAGGCAGTTGTTCAGATTTCAGCATTAGCATTTCTGAAATTGTGTACTTTTGGCATGAGGTTTAACTTGGATCAGGGTTGTCTACCAGGTTGTGGTTCCAACTGTCTTTAAGTTAATATTTGCTACAAGTTTTATGAGTTTTCTGCATTATTTTATAAAATAAACTCATAAGCAACTGTTAAGTGGGTTGAATTTATGCCTGACATGAAAAGAGCTGGTAGGCTTAATATATTGACCAAATAGTTTCACATGTTCCTATGTTATACTTCCAGGGCAAGTACCTGCAAACATTGCTCCATTCCTCTATATTGCTGTGGAATAGGTTTTGTGACCTTTTGTTTGGGTTTGGTTGTTGTGGTTTTTTTGGTTTGTTGGTTTTTTGGGGTTTTTTTGTGGTTTTTTATTTTTAATTTCCTTTTCCAATAATAGGTGAGAATAAAGTATCTATTTGCGGTTTCAGTCGTAAAATTGCGGTTGTTAGAATATTTTGCATGTGGGGGGAAATAGGTATTAGAATATTTTGCATGTGGGGCCTGATGATGAGTCTTCTAAAAGTTTAAAATTCTAAATGTTATTGTTTCAATTTTGACAGACTTGCCCAAGTTTTTAGAATATATTTGCAGTTGTATATGCAATGATGCTTGGTTTCTGGGCTGAAGACCAGACACATTTCCTTCCAATTCCTCCGTGATTTCTGTTTAGTTTTTATCTTGTGTCTATACTGTCCAGTTGTATGATGAATCCAGATTTTACAAGGAATTCTATTTTGAGTCTTATGATACTTTATTGTACACATGTAGTTCAATATATCTTTGTTACTTAACAGGTCCTGTTACATTGTAATTCTTTCCCCAAAGCTCATAATAAAAATAAAATTAATAGAAACAACAGTCAGCACTGATAACTTTGCAAATTATGGTCAAATAAATTTTTGAAATCAAAGCAATTGTTTTTGGGGGGGGGGAGGGTGTGGCTTTTTGTTTGTTTTTAGGTTTTCTTTTTGTTGTTTTTTGGGTTTTTTTTTGTTTGGGGTTTTTTGAAGAACAACAGAAATAGAACTTCTTGTGTGTTATTTTGGTATTTTAGACTGAATTATTGTAACATTCTGGGAATACATGGGAGCTATTCAAGACACTTCAGTTAATGCAAAGGGAATTCAGATGGTGAAAAAAGGTCACATGCCAGGTATATCTATAACAGGCTTCTGATTTGTTTATCTCTCTTCAAAATGAGGAAGGCTAGTATTCTACAGATAGGAAGAGATTTTTGGAGCATGGTGTTTGGGATGCTGTAAAAACATGCAAGCTGATTGATACATACAGCTTCCATATTTTTTTTCCTGCAGAACTGTTAGAAACACAGTGATGAAGGTGTTGTAGGGGGTTTTTCCTGATTCTTCATAGAAAGCCTAATTGAACCTTGAAAAAAGCCCAAACAAAAACTATACTGCACAAGTTATTTCTACAAATATTTTTAAAGTTATATCTGTTACAGAGTTGATTTGCAGTCATGTGAGGAAAGAAATCTTCCCAGATTATTTTGTGTGGAATTATTTTTAATTTAACTTTAGAAGTTTATGAAACTAAAATTATTTCTGTCCCCATTTTCAAATAGATCACACTGCTCTTTTCTACACATTTTATTTACCATATTGTCTGAAAATGCTGTTACTGCTTGGAGGATCAAAGAACTTCCTGTTGCTTCCTAACTGATTGTAACAGAGTGCCATGATGGTCTTGGTGACATTAGGTTGTGGATCCTGAGAGCATCAAGTTCTTCTGAAGGTGCTTCACCTGCTCTCCAAAATCCAGGTGCATCTTGCAGAATTGAACTTTTCTGAGATGTGCTGATATGACTCAGCCTGGTATGCTCATACAGTGAGCAAAACAGTGTTTTTATTGGACTCTGCATACATTAGATATTGAAGTACAAAGAGGTTCCCATATTGCACCAAAATTTTGATTCCTCATTCAATATTTTTTGTACCAAGTCAGATAAGAACCTGACTGAAATTTTCAGGGCTGGCTGAAATCAAAACAGTGATCTATAATCACAGTTATTATTGCTCAGCAAAGAGAGAAGTGATGGTTGGAGATGTACAATAAGTCTGTGTTCTTGGAAGGAAGAAGTAAATTACACAAATAATTTAGATGATCTGTAGCAGATTGAGGAGACTTGTTGTGGAAGGGACTTGGGACTGAGTAGGAATTTTGTTTTTTCCTGAAGAAGAGATATATATTTGCTTTACTGGATTCTTTAATTTAGATGGCAACTTAAAAACTGTTTGCTTTCTTTAATCCAGCATTCCTAGAATTGCTTAGCTGTAAATTGGGCAAAAATAGCTTGTGTTGACTTAAGTGACCATAAGTGGTCAATATAATAAAAATATAGTTGGAGCCCATTCATCTAATTGTAAATTGTTCTTCTGTCTCCCTCAAGAAAAAAGCACAGTCTCAGATGGGGGCTTTTCAGTGTAACCAGTATATACCAGAGATGTTTTTCAGTCTGATTTGTAGTATTGACCTGGAAATGTGAGTGTTTTTACCTTCAGGCAGACACCATTTTCTTGCCCCAGAAGTATCAAATTGCTACAGATAAATAATGCAAATTGGATGCTTTTTTTGCCTTCAGTTATTTTGCAGGTCTACTTTGAAAACTACCCTCAAATTATGTTAAACAGTTTTCTTTCAGAGATAGAACTTACCTGAAAATACTTCTAATAATGAATCATGTGGTACATAAGACTTCTTTAGACACAAACAGCAGTTACTTTTTATTTAGCTAGAAGCTGTCCACTGGAGACCAGTGAAGCAAGAAGAATGATTTGTGGTTGGGGCTCATTAAATGCAAGTCTCCTTTGCCTTTTTTCCCAAGAAAGTGACTATTACACCGCAATGCTAAGCATTTGGGTAGTACATTCACAACAGAATGTTTGGTAGGATGCCATTTAGAAGTGTCCAGAGACTATTTTAAGAAGCTAATAATTTAGAGGTATTTAGCTAGCCTGCAGCTAGGTATAGTTTGGGACTGCTAGGAAAGACATGCAATGACTCTGACAGTAAGAAAGATACAGTATCTGAAAGATACTGTATCTGTGAGGACTGATTCCAGTTTAATTCACAGATGAATCTACCAGGATTATCAGTCATTCCTTGATATTTCTTCTCAAAAGAAGTGTTTGGTAAGGTGTATGAGAAAAGTAAATTGCTCACTGCCCATGGACAGTTCTGCTGTAATAAACTCTGGTAGTCCTGTGGTGTAGGAGGCAGGTAGCAGACTTCTGTGAATAAATAAATAGTTTAAAGAGGTACCTGTTTAATATTTAACAGTGGAGAATATTAGCTGCTGTGTACCTTGTGCACCCTGGTTTAATGGTGCATGTTTTCACTTGAATCTGAGGTGGTCTGGACAGTGAGTTTGTGGGGAAGGTGTTGTACTTGTGTATTTGATAAAAGCTGAAAAATTCTCAGTGTCTTTTGAATAAGGGCAGTAAGAGTATTTTTTAACATTTGCCACACAAATGAGATCTGTACAATTGGCATATATTTCCAAAGTCTGTTTATCAGAAACCTTTCAAACCAAAGCAGACCATCATTTGGATAGGGCTTCATGAAGATCTCTTTTTCAAATACAATAGCAGTTAGAGCTGCACAGCTGCAAGAAATGTGGCATCAGGAAACTGATCCTTGATGTAAAAGACTGTGGAACTGCATTGTTGCTTCTTGTGAAACAAGGCTGTGGTTTTTGAGTGTGAAATGGAGAGATTTTGTTCACTCATAAAATCATGAAATCATAAAATAGTTTGTTGTGGAAGGGACCTTGAAGATCATCTAGTTCCAGCCTCCCACTAGACCAGGTTGTTCACAGCCCCATCCAGTCTGGCTTTTAACACCTCCAGGGATGAGGAAGCCACATCTTCTGTGGGCAGTCTGTTCCAGTGCCTTACCATTTTCACAATAAAGAATTTCTTCCTAGTATCTAATCTCTACCTGCCCTCTTTCAGTTTGAAGCCATTCCCCTTGTCCTGACACTATATGCTCTTGCATGCAGTCTCTTTCCGGCTTTCATTTAGGCGCTCTTCAGGCACTGGAAGGCTGCATTTAGGTCACCCAAGGCCTTCTCTTTTCCAGACTGAACGATCCAAATTCTCTCAGCCTTTTCATCATAATGAATAAAGTTAGTAGCTGGAGCTATGAAAAAGGTTAAGCATGAACCTTGTAGTAACACCTGTGCCTGAGAGTAGTGGAGTAAGGGACCCTTTAGGAAAATACATTTTAGATGCACATAGTTTTCTCATTGGAAGGGTAGGCCCATATTCCATTTAGGTAGCTCTTGCCCACCATTCTTGTCAGATTCTCCATTGGAAACCTGCTGTCAATGTGCCTAGGCAAGCACAGAAATTGTGATGTTTAAAGGTCTTAATAGAAGA